GGAAGGTATTGTTTATCTTTTGATGATTTTGAATGTTAATACATATGCAAGTGTTATTCTTGAACGTTCCTTACGCGCAAATGAAGGTCATATTGGTGTAAATGAGAGTATATTAACCTTAATGAAACAAATTTGGACACAAATGAATGGATATTTTCTGTAAATGAACAGCAAAAGGTGTAATTCAATATTTCCGACGAGCACCCCCAACTTTTTCATATAGGTGTCCCTGGGGATAATCTGCCCTCTTAGCTCCGATTAACACTCTAAACAATTTTGCTGCCAAGTAATCACGCTATACAAATGTGTTGCGTCAGTTAGGGATTTCATAAATTACCTCGTGTGTGCATTAATGAATTAAAGTTGTTTAACGCACTCCAGATTGTACGGGAGGCTTTCTGTCGACTTTAATCTAACGGGTAGTACGCCTTTTTCTATTTTCATTATCTATTTTTTTTTGTCTTTAGGACTAGCTGGCGAGGGAAACAGACCGACACCTGGACAAATTGAACTACGTCTGGTTCAGAATCTTGATGATATTAGGAATCCAAACATAACATTCAAAGCTCAAGTAGTTTCAGATTGATCAAGGGTTGAATGTAGGGACAGGTATCTGTAGGATGTAGTTTTGCTCAGAAATTTAATGAATGATCAGTTTTAAATCAAGAGAATTTATTAGTAAGACCAAAAATGTGATTTTTTTATTTAGTGTGGTTAGCTAAGAGAATTCAGTCAGATTGTATAGTGTTTGGTCAGGGAATAAGTTTTTCGTTTACATGTAAGCTGTGCTGTTTCGGTCGGTAGGTAGAAGCACTTGGGAGTTTACAAGGAAAATGAATTTTTTTTAAGCCCGGGGCAAACGTTCTCACAGCAAATATATCCGGCATTCTCCTGCCGTGGTAACTTTGTTGGGCCTTTTTGCACAATGTTTTGTTGGAAACTTGATTTGAATCAAACTTTCATCTAACATGTCCTAGCAGGGTAATGAAATAGTTGCGATAATTGGGACCTTTTCTCACGGCTTTAGATTAAAGATCAGCTGATGGTCTGAACAGCGGCTTGAAGGTATGCATTTCCTCCATCTTTTGGATAGTATAGAGAAGACAAATCGATAGCGAACAAAAATGCTTCTCGCTCGCTCACGTTCGATCGCCAACTGGCCATCTTCGCGCTCGTTCTGGATGATTCCTCAAGAGTGAACGTTTGAAATGTAAACAGCAGCTCTGACGACTTAGCTATTTGTAATCGAACGACAGTTCAGCCTGAAAAGTTTTTACTACATGGAACTTGCTGGAGATTTCAAGATTCATCGTACACGAGTATTTCGTTGTACTTGCTCGTTGTTAGTGTACATATCAAAGAATAAACCATGCACCTGAACTGAAGAAAAACAATACAAACAAATATTTAAGCTGCTGCATAGAAAAGCTAGCAAATATTTTGACGCCTCCACGTATTATTTTAGTTATTTTCATTACATTTTCCCAGGTACATACTAACCTTTCGTTATAAGTTCTTCGATACAAAAAAAAAGAAAAATGGGAGTAAGTGAAATAAGTGATTTGAGTGAGACTGTTTGAATTGCATGCTAGTATGACGTTTCTTTAATAACATCAATCTTAATTAGTATCTGTTATTCGGTGAAAAGTAAAGTACTCGCGAAAAATCTGTGTAATAAAACGTAATTTTGTAGTCTTGTTTTTGCCTGGTTGCCTTCTGTTTGAAAAAGATATCTATGTTTCATTTACTCCAAATTCTAACGTGTCGCATTCTCTGTTGACTTTACGAAATGGTTAATTTGTTACCTTACCCCTTTTTGTAAACATTAATCTTAGTCTTTCTTAAATCCTTGAATCTGATTGGTTCCCTAATTGTTGACTTTTATCGCTGATTGATTAAAGGAACTATGTCACGGATTTTAGCCAAATTTAGACGTAACAAAATGGCCGCCAAATTGAGTGAAATACAAAAATAACCACTTAAAACAGTGAAGGAATATTTCAATGACACAACAAATACAGAAGAAGGAACAGATGCACAGAAATCAAGGAAGAATAAAACGTACAGTGATATGGGTGTTTGATAAACTATTAGGCTGATCACTTATCAAAGTCAATCTCGTTTGTTTGGCAGCTAAATAATGCCAGAGAGACATATTTGTTTTTCTAGTGAAGCTTTGTTGTTTTCATTTAGATCCAAAGATGTAATAAGTTTGAGGGAGTAGTTGTCAAAAGCTAATTGTAGTAATAAAATAGCCGAGACTTAACTCAGCCGTGACAGAGCACCTTTAAGATTCTGGTCTTTTGACTGCTTTCCTCAGAAGAAACTCAGAAAACTCTAGCACAGAGTCTATGATACATACTGATTCTTCCCAATAATAATAATAATAATAATAATAATAATAATAATAATAATAATAATAATAATAA